TGAATGTCCTGGTTGCCTTCCTGGGGCCTGACTCCTCCCCATTTCTCCAGCACCAGCCCTGACTGCAACCTCTCCTCCTCAAACCTTGCATGGGGAGACACGGCAATCTAAGCGAAGCACTATGTCTGTCTTTGCCAGGACATCAAATGGTCCGGGATGGAATGGTGGGAGGTTGGCAATTGTTGGTATTTTTGGCTAAGAGGCTGTCGTACCCTGCCCAATCCCTAGCGTCATTCCTAATGGGTTATAAGAGTGTTATTCATTTTTCTTACATTTACATCTTCCCCCAACCCCCATCACAGCGCACACACACACACAACACACACACACATCACATCTTCTTCCTTCCACTTATGCTTCGTCTCCTTAGGAACTGGAGCCCCCCACTTCGACCCCACCCTCAACAGTCCCCTGTACCCCGTGTGACTCCTGCTTTCTGACCCAGCCTCGACTGGCCGTCAGGTCTTCCGAACTTTGGTGAGAGTCTCCAAGAAAACATGTATAAAACAATTTAGAGTTTCAAACTGCTGTTCCAATAGCTCTGAGTACAGCGGTGGCTTGAGGCTGGGAGGGTGGGGGAGATATTGAGGCAGAGGCTGTTCTGTAGAAGTCAGAGTCTTTCTGCTACCCCAGGGCTTCGCTGAAGCGGGGCATGATTGTAGAACAATGGAGCTGGTGCTCTGGTTGCCCACCCATCTGGAGGTCTAGGCCTTTCTAGAAGTGGCTCAGTGCTTCTCTTCCTCTTCCCTTATTGGGGTGGTATGTGCGAGCTTGTGCAATGGAGAGATGGGTGGAGGGGTAAGGAAAATCTGTCCTTTTATGGGGGTTGGAATAATTCTCTATGAGGTCCTGGTCAGGGCGCGCATTTGGGCAGTAAGGGCCAGCTTGTAGCACCTTCTCTGGTTAGATGAGCAGAGGTTTCGGGCAGGCCAGCTCCCTGGTCGAAATTTTGGGAACAGGAGTTTTGGCATGAGCTGGATGGCCTGGGGTCAACGTTTCCCACCATCGTATAGTTGCTGGTACCTGTTAGGGTTGAAGGGTGGGAGAGAAAGATGAGATCAAAGAAGAGATCCAGCACAGTGGAATGAGACGCAGGAAGGGAGGTGTGATGTACTGTACACAGGGATAGTTAGCATCAGGCGGCAGGGAATCCTTCTGTCGATCTCCACCTAATCGGGATATTTACTCTATGTCCCAAATGGGCCTGCATCTTATGTATTTGGCATTTGGGCCTGGTTTATGGTGAAATTATGTGCAGCAAAGTAAGCTTTCATCTTTTTAACGTACTGTATTTAATATTTATTGATCCAGATCCCGATCCAATTCTAACTGTCTTCAAGTCTACAACCTTGTTTCTCGGTAATGCAGTGCCATATGTGGGAAGAATCACAGAACTCAATCTCAATCTGGATGACTGTGCCTTGCTCAGTAAGGGGCCTGTGCAGTATGGGGTTCCAACAGGAGTAAATAGTCTTTTTTTTATTGTGTTTTTTTTTTTTTAAAACCACAGCTAAATAGTAGAGATTTGTTCTATGGTTCCTCAGCACCCACTTTGCACCTGGTTCAAGCAATAGTTCACTCTGCATATTGTGGTTTATTATAAGAGGTTCTCATCCT